AATAAAAGTGACTCTGTTTCTCTTGCACCATTTGATCTCATCCATTCTGATATTTGGGGACCCTCTCCTACTCCCACTATGGGCGGCGCCCGCTATTTTGTTGTTTTTGTAGATGATTTTTCTCGTTTTACATGGTTGTTTCTTATGAAAAATCGATCTGAGCTCAAACAACTTTATTACAATTTTGCTGCAATGGTTAAAACACAATTTTCTAAAACTATTAAACTTTTTCGTTCCGACAATGCCATGGAATATAAAGATTTTGACTTTCTTTCTTTCCTTCAGAGTTATGGTACTCAACCTCATCGATCCTGTCCCGGCACATCTCAACAAAATGGACGTGTTGAACGGAAACATCGGCATATTCTCGACACTACTCGCGCTCTTCTTTTGTCTTCCTCTTGTCCGGAACATTTTTGGGGAGAGGCAGCTCTCACTGCTGCTTACACTATCAATTGTATCCCTACCCCTGTCATTCATAATCACACTCCTTATGAGCGTCTGCATGGCACCCGTCCCCTCTACACCAACCTTAGAGTCTCTGCCTGTTTTGTTCTTCTCCAACCTCATGAACGTACCAAACTTGAACCTCGTTCCCGCCTTTGTTGCTTCTTAGGGTATGGTATTGAACATAAGGGGTATCGTTGTTGGGATCCTCTCTCCCAACGACATCGTATCTCTCATCATGTGGTCTTTTGGGAACACAAAATGTTTTCCCCCCTCTCTTCGTTCCGTTTGTCCGTTCCCTCACCCTCTCTTTTTTTTACTGACCCTTCCACAGATCTATTTTCTGATGACCTTATTCCACCACCCTTGCCAACCTCTCTCGAGTTTTCTGATACGTTTGCTCCACCGCCCCTGCCAACCTCTCTCGAGATCGCCTTGCCTACCGGTTTGTCCCCTGCACCTGCTCCCTCTGATGGTCTTGCTCTTGCTCCATCGGGATCCTCCCCTCCTGCTGAGTCTCTTCCTCTGGCTCCTCCTCCCTCTGCTCGACCACATCGGGTAACCCAGCCTTCTACTCGTCTTCGTGACTTTATTGTTGGTTCTACTGCTTTTTCTACTTATGAACCGACCTCCTATCGTGAGGCTCGCTCTAATCCTCTTTGGCAGCAAGCCATGACTGATGAATTGCAGGCTTTAGACAAAACTCACACTTGGGACATTGTTGATCTTCCTCCTGGCAAGACTGCCATTGGCTGCAAATGGGTATACAAAATCAAGACTTGTTCTGATGGATCTATTGAGCGTTACAAAGCCCGCCTTGTTGCAAAAGGCTTCAATCAAGAATATGGTATTGATTATGAGGAGACCTTTGCTCCTGTTGCTCGTCTCACCTCTGTTCGCAGCTTGATTGCTGTTGCTACCGCTCGACAATGGGATCTTTATCAACTGGACGTGAAAAATGCTTTTCTTAATGGTGTTCTTCTTGAGGAGGTCTACATGCAACCTCCCTCTGGGTCTGCTTATCTCCCGCATCAAGTCTGCAAACTTCGGCATGCTTTATATGGTCTCAAACAAGCTCCCCGTGCTTGGTTTGCCAAGTTCAGCTCCACTATTCAGAAATGTGGTTTCACCTCCAGCTCTTATGATACTGCTCTTTTTATCCGAAAAACAGCTCAAGGGACCACCCTGCTTTTACTTTATGTAGATGACATGATTATCACCGGTGATGATATCGATGGTATTCTTCGCCTTAAACAGTTTCTTAGCCACCATTTCGAGATGAAAGACCTTGGTCCTCTCAGCTATTTCTTGGGTCTTGAAATCTTCCATGATTCCACGGGGTCTTTTCTCTCTCAAGCTAAGTACACATCTGATCTTCTCACCCGTGCTGGTCTTACCGATTGCAAGCCAAAAAAAAAAAAATCCCAAGATTTTCATTGTTACCCCAAGCATGAGAGGATGATAGAGCCAAGAAAATAGGCACACTGAACATTTCACCAAGGCTGAAAATTTATTGTACCTATGCATTGACATTACATCTAACTAATCAAATGATCTCTCATGCTACTTTCAAATTTCAATAACAGGGAGTTAACATATCGGTGAAATCAAACATAGATTCCTAATTTTCTTAAAATAAGTTTGATAAAATGTTGTAGGTTAAGTCATCTGTTAGGTTTTTAAATCATCAAATTTTGACAGAGAATTGGACAAATACTTGTTCAAAGTTCCAAATTCTGACTGTGCCAACTGAGCAGTCCAAGATAGTCTCTATTGATATTGTTAGAATTTCCCATCTTTACCTTCACCTACTCCACTACACACTCCACTTCACCTAACCCACTATCACCTCCACTACACCTACTACCACATTTTCTTCTATATATAGATTGTATAGGAATTGTAATTCATGAATCTTGTAATCTATCAATCAAGACATCAATCAATAATACATAAATTCTTACATATTTGTAATTCTAAATGTATAGGTGAAGAATTTATTAACAACTCATCCAGAAGATGAAGTACCAGTAAAGAGCGTCACTATTCGCACGATTCCTAGGTATCTTACATTGATTAGAAGATAGTCAGGTTGATGTTGGTTCAAGGAAATTACATATGCTATATGGTTATCTAAATGAAGCCTTGATCTTTGCTTGCAATAATGATACAAATTAAAATACTTGAGATCTGTTTTTTGTTTGTTTGTTTTTTGGTTTTTTCTCTGTATCATTGTTGTGCATTTACATGTTCTTTACGCATAAAGTTATTAACCTTGTTTCTGCTTTGTGGCTTACTAGCTGACAGTGGCTGTTATCTTGGGTTCTTGTCGAACACTGTTGATCAGGTTCAACCCAGAGCTGAACTGACCATGGTCGGTTATGAGTTTTTGAACCCAAGATCGAACCTATCATTATTCCTTTAGAACTGAACCGAACCAACCCAAGTGTCTTGTTTTTTGTGCATATGCTACATTAATTGATGTTATTATTAATGTCACGAAGTCTAGAGAACCAGCCTGTTGCAAGGTGTTCTTGTTGTAGGACTACTTGCCTAGATGTTGAACACGAGGCAGAAAACATGACATGGATGCTCCAAATGTTAACGTCATTGGGCATCAATACAACGAGGATGTAGTCATTTGTTTTTATGTTCTAGGGTTCCGGAAACTATGCCATTATATGACATCTTGAATGAGTTTCAAAAGGGTCAGTCACATGGCTGTTGTTGTAAGACGGTGCAACAGGACAGAGGACCAGTCTTCTGGCAAGAGCCCTGCTCGTAGTAAGCTCCATTTCGTGCTTTGAATTTTGTATATGCTTGGACAATTTTTTTTTTTTTTTGATGCTTTCTCTCTCTCTCTCACAGATTCAGTGATGGATGTGAAGGTAGACATTGATGGTGAAAAGACCCCTAATGAGAAGGCTTTAAAGGCCAAAAGATCGTTCCAGAAAATAAGAAGTTTTCCCAAAAGCAGAAACAATTCTTATAGGGGCCCCTCTAGGAGCAAGAAGTGGACAAAGGAAATGTACTTGGACATCCTGCAGATAGATGGAAGTCCGCTTCCGAAGCTTCCTGAAGTAGAGGAAGCTGTCGGCATAATAACCATGGAAGATGTCATCGAAGAGCTTTTACAGGTAAATTCGAGAACTTCCATTGGTACCTTAAATTCCTGGTTTTTTATATACTCGCACTAATTTTCATAGATGGTTCCATATATTGACATATCATTGTAGGAGGAGATCTTTGATGAGACGGATCATCATTTTGAGGATTCATAACCATGGTTTTGTTTAGACTGTCGTATTTTCTAGATAGACGGTGATGAAAAAATTGTTGAATTTGTTTCGGCACTTAGCTACACATGAGTTAGGAGTGTGTACTGAATTGGAAAATTTCAAGGCTGTGTAAAGAGAAAGAATGTGTTGTACTTCAGTTTCTTTAAAGTTTTTATTTTTTTTTTTTGAGTTAATTACACTTTTCATCATTATAGTTTGGTTCAAATTTTACTTTAGTCTTTACTGTTTTAATTTGAACAATTTGGTCCCTATGTTTTTAAGTTTTATAGAATGGCTATCAGACCTGCGATGTTGTATGGGACGGAGTGTTGGGTAATTAGGAAACAACATGTAGATAAGATGTGTGTGGTTGAGATGGGGATACTAAGGTGAATGTGTGGCAATACTAGACAAGACAGAATTAGGAATGAGTGTATTCAGGAATGGGTAAGAGTAGTACTGATAGAAGATAAGTTGAGAGAGAATCGATTGAGATGGTTTGGCCACATTCAACGGAGACCAACAGAGACAGTAGTGAAGAGATGCGAGGCTGTAACGGTAGAGGGGAGTGTTAGGAGACGGGATAGACCTAGATTAACCTTAGCTAACGCTGTAAATAGAGATATGGATCCACTTAATTTGACCAACGAAATGGCCCTTGATAGGTCTGCGTGGAGAAGAAGGATTCATGTAACCGACCCCATTTGATGAGACTTAAGGCTTGGTTTTGGTTTGGTTTGGTTTTTAATTTGGTCCTTCTATCTAAATTTCTGTTAACGTTGTCTCCGTGTACACCTTAGAAAATTGCTAGGTGTTTCAAAATTGTAATTTTTAACCTCCAATTTGGATAAAATGATCAAATTAAAACTACATTTAAAATGTAGGGATCAAATTGTTCAATTTGAAATTATAGGGATTAAAGGGAAATTTTGATGAAAATATAAGGGTGAAAAGTATAATTAATCATTTTTTTTAATCAACTACCAGAGATGAATGAATTGTCATATTTCTGGGAGAGTTGGGCTGTGGTATTTGTTATTTTATTCTTATTTTTATTTGCCCGTTTTTTATTTGGAGGGCAAACGGGTGAAGAATTGAGTAATATTGGAGCATTACATGTTGAACATCAATTTGTAGCCAAACTAAAATATCAATTAGTACTAGCAATTACAGCTCAAGAACTATTGAGCTTTAATACTTTCCAACCAAATTAAGTATGAATAACGTAGCAACATATGGGAAGAGAAAAAATACACAAAGACTGCACAATTGATATTCATCGTAGTAATGAGACATACACTGAGACTGCAATTCAGTAATCAGAGCATACCACACAAGATCTCATAACATTAAAATAGTTGCTATATATATACTGAATAATCATTTGTAGAGCAAAAGTTTTCTACCTCACAAACAATGGAGAGCCAAACAGAATGGTTTAACAATATATGACAATGAGAGAGATGAGTAGTAGCATATATAATATGTAATACATAATTGTATGAATTGGTGACTATGCATGAAGCACATAGTCGTTGTCATCATCTTCTTAGAAATGGAGGATTATTATGGTTGAGTTGAGGAGGAGGGGCAATCAGACTTGAGCATCCGCCTGAGTTCTTTAGTGACTTCGATCATTTCTGGTCTATCTTCTTTGTTTTCTTGGGTGCATCTCAAGGCAAGTGCTAGTACAGCTTGTAATTGTTGTTCTTGCTCAATTCCTCCTCTTTCTTTCAGAATTCTTGGATCCACAATTTCATTGAACGGATCCTTTTCTACAGAGTCTCTCACCCATACTAGTAAGGAGTACGGAAAATCTATGTCAAGGGACACGTCTATGGATTTTTTCCCAGTCAGAAGTTCAAGAAGAATCACGCCAAAAACATAAACATCAGACTTCTCAGTGAGAATGCCCGTTGCCATGTACTCAGGAGCTACATATCCAAACGTCCCCATTACTGAATCTTCTACCTGTGTTTCTCCAGGAGGAATTGCTATAGATAAGGAGAAATCCAATAATTTAGCAACACCAGATTGGTCTATGATAATATGCATTGGTTTTAGGCCCCTATGGATGATGGGTGTTGAAAACGCAGTGTGCATGTAAATAACAGCATACGCAATGTCATTTGCGATCTTTAGCCTATTTTTCCATGTGAATGATGATGACCTCCCATTCTCTGCCATGCCGCCGCCTTCACTTTCAAACAAACGTGTGGAAAGTAATTCGATACTCCCTCCTGCTGCTGGATATTCATACACTGAAGCAGAAATGTCCAAGTCTAGACAACAACCTATTAGCTTTAAAACATTCTTGTGACTACTCATTAATGACATAATCACCATGTCACGGATAGCCCCAGACTTTGAATTGTGTACATTTGAATCTTGATGCATCTTGATTAAAATTAGGCGTTTGTCAAAAGAACCCTTATAAATTTTAAATCCGACATCTGCCACAATTTGATCGGAGCAAAATCCATTTGTTGCCTGAGAGAGCTCTTGGATAGAGAATCTACCAATAGAAGTATTATATTTGCCATTTGAAAAAGCCATAAGATCCTCTAAAAACATGCTTCCGTTATTCAGGAAATTCTTTTCTTGATCTGAATCATTCTTATTATCAAAGATGGACGATAATATTCGTCTTCCAAATGCCATCAAGTGAGTGAGAGAGAGCCTCCTAGTGTTGTTTGTCAGTAATCAATCACCTGCGGCTGCCATACAAAATGATTCACAAAATTACCCACAGAGAGAGGGGGCTGCTATTTTGCTTTGGCAAATCACAAATATTAGAAGCTTACATAACAGATCTACCATGAATCATCAATCACAGAATCAATGAGAATAGCAATAACTAGAAAGAAAAAGCACAAATCAAATAAAAAAAAAGTTAAAAAGAGACTAACAATTCTAATAACTGTTTTTTCTTTAACTAGATTGGCAGAAGAACAAGATCTAACCTATTGTTTTGAGCTGCGCATGCACTGTCTGTCTCTGTGTAGAATAGAATCTGAGGGATGAAGAAGATCTCAAGTCCATGTTCCCTCTCTCTCTCTCTCACATCTCTCTATTTTACATACATAAATGCACTCTGTTTCTCTATCTCTCTCTCTCTCTCTCTCTCTCTCAGGGAACTTCCAGTGACTTTCGCATCAAAGTGAACAAGTCAACACGGACTTCATCTTTTTTTCCCAATAGGGTGTTTTCGCACTTTACTTACAGCAGTGTTCGCATATTTAAAAGCAAAAAGCAGAATACGCGCATAGTATGACGGCCAAGGTTAAGTTTGATGACTCAAAAATGATTTATTTTTTTATATTTTTTTATTGTATTATTTTTTTTATATATTTTTTTTATAAAAAGATAAAAAGTACACTTATTTAGATAATCTCAAATAATTTTTAAATTGTCATTTGATAAGTCGATTTGTTTGATTTTTTAATTAAATTAGTTATAAAAAAATAAAATAAATTAAAAAATATAAAATGTTATAATTATTATTATTTTTTTAAAAAAAAGTTAAAAAAATTAACCCAACAACGTTTTAGTCCAATGTCAAAAAGCCAATTTTTTTTCCAAATGAAGTCAAAAAAAAAAAGTTCAGGTCCCAGAAATTTAGAATCCAGAATTACCCAAAAATAAGTATATGTGGCGGAAATTGAATTGATGAAATATGAGATCTACATACAAAATGAATCTAAGTTATTGATGTAAAATTCTGGGCAATTTCTGAATTTTTATGCCTGAATTCGTAGTAATATTGAATTAATATAGGGTGAAATTTATGAATAAAATAAAAAACAAAATTTGAATCATTAATTGCTATTTAGTAAAATTTGCTTAAAAAATTATGAGTTTGTAGTATGTATTCAAAATACAAAATACCAGATGTTTTATATAGTGCATTTCGCTCTAGTTTTTCAAAAAATTTTAGGGTTCTGTTTAAGTGTGCAACCCCCTTAAGGTTGCACACCATATGCAACCCAATTGTTAGCCGTTAGATTACAATAATTGATCAAGACCATTGAATTGTTTAATTGTGAAAAAGTTGAAATCGGGGCAACTAGTTAATGCTTGTATTTGTATGATTGCATCCCACTCACTCTCTGTATTTCGTCCCTATCTCTTTCTGTTCTCCTCTCTGTGTAAGGTTGGGTCAGTGTAACTATTGATTTCCATTAATAGCGAGAAGCCCCTGCCGGGTTCGTTCCATTGACGAAGCTCTGTAGGGAACAGTATAACGGGCGATTTCCAACAACAACGGAACTACAAGCCTGTGTTGGTTCCATTGCTGAAGTGAAGCCCTTCTCTCCAACTAGATATAAGGTATGGAGTTGTCTCCCTCTCTCTGTATCCCTCTCTGTCTCTCTGGCCTCTTCACTTCAGCTATTTTCCTTCAACTAAACACCCCATCCTAACTTCAACCGCTCTATGCTTCGCTCAAACGGAAACCCCTCTATTGGCAACTAACCTTTCTCTTTCTCAAGCGAGTGTTTGTGTTTGCACAAACGACTAAACCGTGTGAAAATGTCATGTTTGTGTTTGTGTTAACATTTTTCGGTTATCAAGTAATTGTTTGTACTAATGTCATGTGCAGTATGGCCCCAGCAGAAGTTAAAAGGGAAGGTGATGATTATGAAATTCCAAATGAAGCAAATGACATTCGTTTGATGAATGAAAGTCAGGTGGAACCTTATTATGGTTGCGAAGTTGGTTCGAGCAATGAAGAAGCAACCAACATGAACGTTGAAGATGGCGGAGCCGATGTGAAAAAAGAAATGGTTGACGATGCTCATCGCAATGACATGGTTGGTGATGTTGAACGTGCTATTCTGGAACAGAAATTTGATTCGGTCAAAGATGGAGAAGCTTTCTACAATGCGTATGCTAAAGCCAAGGGATTTAGGATACGAAAATCCAGATTTAACACAAATAAAGAGGGAAAGGTCGTTAGTAGGCTGTGGTTGTGTTCAA